AGATTCCCCTTTAAAATGACTTTAAAGTTTAAAATTTTAAGTTGTATCAGAAAATCACCTTTTAACGAGAAAATAGAATATTGAACCTATAATAGATTATGGAAATAAAATAGACAAAAATAAATAACTCTCATTTTCCATCTATACAAACAACCTGTGAAGTTAGGTGGCATAACTAGTTAATGACAAATTAGTGGCTAGAATCAAGTTCTCCTAATTCCTATTCAATGTTTTTAATCACTACACCATAGGCTGATTTCTATTTGTGAAATATAATATACAATTCCTGCATGTGCAAGTGTGTGTAACCATGGTGAGTTTGTAGTCCTTTCTCAGTGTTGTCTTAGACTAAGCGTGCTGCTCTCGGTGATGGAGGACTGCCGTGGATGGTCCTTCAAAACATTGAATTACTTCAACAATGCCATGTCTGCTATGTCTTGCACTTTATTATCCGTGTTGCTTTTCTCTCTGTGCATTCCCATTTAACAATGTCCATTTTTGAAAGTGGCAGTCAAAACTTTATAAAATACTTGAGTCGTGGGCTAGACAACGTGGAGCACAGTGGGACTATTAGTCCTCTCCATCTTCAGCCTGTAAAAATCCTATGCAACTTTCAAATTTCAGCCCAAATGCCACCACTTTGATACAAACATCATCTTCACTCAGCTAGGGAGTAGACATCATCACTTTTGTATTCATTCATATAGCAAATATGTCATTGACCATACACAGGGATCTGGTCCAATTATTGGACACATTGTGAAGAACAGAACAAGCAGATTTTCTGTCTTCTTTGATCATACAGAAGCCAGATTTTAAACAAATATAGACAAATTTTTGCATAACATGCATAATTACATTCTACAAAGGCGAAGAGCAGGGTATTAGAATAGTAAATAGTAGAGGTACTTGGATGGTTTATTTTATGTAAGCTCTAGAAAATATATAGACTATATATAAAGCATGTATGTGAGTGTGTCTGTGTGCGTCCGTGTGTGTGTGTGTCTTGGTGGAGCTGGAGTATGTGGCAGGCAGTGAAGGGGTTGGATGTGTAGAATGAGTATTTTGTGGAAAGGAAACAGCAAATCCAAAAGCTCTGAGTCAGGAAAGTGCTTGACAATTTTGATGAAAGTAGTGGAATTCAGCATCCTTGTTGTGGTGAGGAAGAGATAGAATGACAGGTGAGGAAGCAAGTGGAAGGAAACCTTCTCATGACATGAGATATTTTACCTTGCATATATATATCATATATCCCCATTAAAATATATTCTCACTCAGGTTAGTGATCATGCTTCATCTTCAGAGCCCTCGCAATATCTGACAAAATATCTCATATACCTAGGAGCCAATGTAGATGTGTTTACTTGAAATGAATAGATATTTCTAACTATCCATCATAACTATATACTATCTAAAGTTTTGATAAGCAATTCTTGGTTAGTTAACATACTGAAAAGAGTATTGAACAGAAGTGACCAAGTGTAAAACTCTATAATGAACCAAATGACAGATTCTCAGTGGTCTATTGGTGAATACTTTTCTTTCTTCTTCTTTTTTTTTTTTGGTGAGGAAAATTGCCCCTGAGCTATCATCTGTTGTCAATCTTCCTCTGTTTGCTTGAGGAAGATTGTCCCTGAGCTAACACCTGTGCCAATCTTCCTTTATTTTGTATACAGGACACCACCATAGCATGGCTTGATGAGTGATGTGTAGGTCCACACCCGGGATCCAAACGTGTGAACTCCAGGCCACAGAAGTGGAGCTGGCAAACTTAACCACTATGCCACTGGGATGGCCCCCAATTGATGAATACTTTTTGGATATAGTTCTTCAACTATCTTTACTCAAGCCCCAATATCTCTATCTCACGTATTAAAGAAATTCCAAAGAATTTTTCATTTGCTTTGTTGAAAAAGCCACTAAGGACTTCCTCAACTTGATAAAGGCTATCTTTTACAAAAACCTACAGCTAATATCATATTTAAGGGCAAAACACAAAGTTTTCCCACTAAGATCAGACATAAAGCAAGGATGCCTCCTCTTACCACTCCTTTTCAATATCATACTGGAAGCTCTAGCTAATCAAATAAGACAAGATAAGGAAATAAAAAATATACAGATTGGAAAGGAAAAAATAAAACTCTCTGTTCACAGATGACACAACTGTCTATGTAAAAAATCAAAAAGAATTGACAAAAAAATCTCATGGAACTAATAAACAATTATAGCAAGGATGTACAATACAAGGTTAATATGCAAAAGTCAATACCTTACCTAAATACTATTAATGAACGAGTAGAATGAGAAATTTAAAACATAATATAACTTACAGTAGCACCCCTCCAAAAATACTTGGGTATAAATCTAATAAAAAACATATAAGATCTATATAAGGAAAACTACAAAACCCTGATGAACAAAATCAATGAACTAAATCAATGGAAAGATATTCCATGTTCATGAATAGGAAGAGTTAATACCGTCAGAGTGTCAGTTCTTTCCAACTTGACCTACAGATTCAAAATTATAGCAAGTAATTTTTTGGATGTTGACATACTGATTTTAAAGTTTATATGGAGAGGCAAAAGATCCAGAATAGCCAACACAGTATTGAAGAAGAAGAATAAAGTTGGTGGATGGACACTACCCGATTTCAAGACTTACTGTAAAGCTACAGTAATCAAGACAATGTGATATTGGGCAAAGACAGATCAATGGAACAAATAGAGGGCCCAGAAATATACTCACATAATATAGTCAACTGATCTTTGACAAAGAAGCAAAAGCAATAAAATGGAGCAAAGATAGTGTTTTCAACAAATGGTGCTGGAACAACTGGACATCCACACGCAAAAAAAAAAAAAAAAAAGGAATCAAAACATAGACTTCACACACTTCAAAAAAGTTAACTTAAAATGGATCACAGACCTAAATGCAAAACAAAACTATAAAACTTCTAGAAGATGACATAGGATAAAACTTGGATAACCTTGAGTATGGCAATAGTTTCTTAGATGCAATATCAAAGCACAATTTATGAAAGAAATAGTGCATAAGCTGGACTTCATTAAAATTTAAAATTTCTTATCTGCAGAAAAATAATGTCAAGAAAATGAGAAGACCAAGTCACAGACTGGGAGAAAATATTTGCAAAAGACATATCTGATAAAAGACTATTATCCAAAATATACACAGAACTCTTTAAACTCAAGAATAAGAAAACAAACAAACAGTTTAGAAATGGGCCATAACAGAGACCCCACCAAAGAACATATTCGGATGGCAAATAGGCATATGAAAAGATGCTCCACATCATATGTCCTCAGAGAAATGCAAATTAAAACAACAGTGAGATATCACTACACACCTATTACCATGGCCAAAATCTGGAACACTAACAACACCAAAGGCCGGTGAGGATGTGGAGCAACAAGAACTTTCATTCATTGCTGGTGGGAATGCAAAAGCTGTAGCCACTCTGGAAGACAGTTTAGCAGTCTCTTACAAGACTAAACATACTCTTACCATACAATCCAGCAGTCTCACTTCTTGGTATTTATCCAAAGGAATTAAAAACTTATGTGCACACAAAAGCCTACACACGAATGTTTATAGCAGCTTTATTCATAATTGCCAAAACCTGGAAGGTATCGAGATATCCTTCAATAGGTAAATGGGTAAATAAACTGTGATACATCTAGACGGTGAAATATTATTAATTGGTAAAGAGAAATGAGCTTAATAGCTTAATAACATGAAAAGACATAGAGGAACCTTAACTGCATATTACTAAGTAAAAAAAATCCAATCTGAAAAGACTATATATTGCATGATTCCAACTGCATCACATTCTGGAAGAGACAAAACGATGGAGACAGTAAAAAGATCAATGGTTGCCAGGGATTTACAGGGGTGGAGAGAAAAGATGAATAGGCAGAGAACAGAGGATTTTTATGAAAAATCGTTAATTTAGTGAAACATTCTGTGTGATACCATAATGATGGATACGTGTCATTACAAATTTGTCCAAATCCCTAGAAAGGACAACACCCAGAGTGAACCATAACACAAACTATGGACTTTGGGTGATTACGATATGCCAACATAGCTTTATCAATTATAACAAGTATACCAGGGTGGGGAATGTTAATAATGGGGAGGCTATGCATGTGTGGGGACAGAGAGCACATGGGAAATCTCTGCACTTTCCCCTTAATTTTGCTGTGAGTGTAAAACTGTTCTAAAAAAGCAGTCTTAATAATAATAATAAAAAAACCCACAAAGGCAGCTTTTTTTTTTTCCCTGTTTTGGTCAGTGGTTATTAAAAATTTCATTTCCATGAAAAGAAAGCTTATCATTTTGGATTTATAAGTCAAATGGAGGAAATAATTAACTTTCTAATATATAACTTGTCAAAATCTTTAAAAGAACACACCTTTTTACCTTTTTCCTCATCGAACACCCCTAATTCCTTGTGGATTTCTAGTGACCCTTTGAACCAGACTTGACAAACATTGCACTAGGTACACTTCCTAAAAAAGTTTACATTTTCTCGAGGCTGTCAGATTCCCTATGCGTGCTTTCAAACAATTGGGTAAAGTGATATATAAAAAGGTAGTAAGATGAATATTGCAGTTAGCAAATGTTAAAGGAGTCAGAGGAGGAAAACGCTCCCAGAGTGATGAAATATTAAATTTGGGGTAAGTTCCACTGAAGAGGAATGTTTTATGATCATTATATTATAGAACATGATGCTTACCTCTGGGTTCAACAGAGGTTTCCGGGTCAGATATGATCAAGATCAGTCCTAGGTCAGGAAATGTGGTTGCTGAAACTGAAGACTTTTTCTCCGCCTTTATAAGATTTAACTTTTCCAACTAGAAATACAAGTCTTTTTCAAAATGACCATGAGAATAAGCACTGAGAAATACTTAGATCTGCTGATGACAAGTGTCATGGTTTGAAGGCAGTGATATAGGTGGCGGCGCTTTAGAACTTACCAGATGGTTTGGTCTTCTCTGTGGTGTGATTTGAGAATCCCTGTCCACAATTTCTTTTCCTAACACTAGAGATTCGTCCATCTGATTACAGAGGATAGTGGAGTCGTCAGGAGAGCCTCATAATTTCAGTGCATGATCAATATGACCCATTCTACAAATTCAGAACAAGTATACACTTCAGTTTCTGATTATCTTCACTTAATCAAACTACCCTCCCTAACTCCCTTAAGAGCAAGTATTTTTTAGCAATCACTTCCTCTCTGGAATTTCTTAGACATGAGAATTTATCCAACCAACTATTTCAGCTCTCTTCCAAATGGCCAAGGAGAAACGGATTAGTTCTTGGGGATTTTTGGGGTTTTTTTGTGTTTTTTTTGTTTTGGTTGCAAGGTATCACTCTGCAAAACTGGGCCTTCTAATTTAGTAAAATCATTCTCAGTATTCACAGGATGCTCTTGTAGCCCAGGTCTTGCCCAGTATGCAGAAGTACCTTGTATTGACACCTTCGTTCCTTCCTTCTTTTCTTCCTTCCTTTCTTTTTACCATATTATTTCATATTTATCCATAGGGTCCCCATAGAAAAACTGGACAGCCCCAAAAGTCTTTAGTCTCTGGTACTCGTGCTAGGGAACCAACCTAGGCTCCCCTTCTTTCCAGTAATTTTATTTTGGGGACCAGCTTGACTTTCTGTGTCATGGAGTGGAGGAAACGATTGGCCTGCTCTTTGTCCAAAAACTACTGGTTCATTATCCCAATTAATCCACTCCTCCCCTTTCATCACAGAAAGATTGATTTGCTAAGCTTCTCAAAAAATAGGAGCTCTGAACAATCAGTGGCTACTGCCTTATATTTATGATGCTGAGTAGGGACATTCCTGAGATTCTTTTCTGACCATTTTAGGCCAGCTTTGGGGTCCCCTGTAATCCTCACTCCTACATGTAGGAAGGAGTGACATGATTTTACTCTCTTCTCAAAGAGTCTTCTGTTAATTTCAGGTTTAAGAGGTACCTGACACAAAAATATTCCTAAAGGAATAACAACGTTATTGCCTAAGAAAAAATTTGGATAGACAACTGTGGGGAGTTTAGAAGAATGGATGAGAAGCTACAACTAAAAGGAGTCACAGGAGTGTTCTAAAGGCAAATTTCTCTCTTTGAAATGATGCTGAAGACCCACACCAGACTGGGAGCTACAGACGTATTCTCTGACGTAATTTTTTAAATTATTATTATTCTCCTAAGGAAGATTTCAAACATTATTTACATGGGAACAAAAACAATCCTATATAATGATAATCACTCTCACTTAGTAACATTCTACTCATTCATCAATATTCAGCTTAAAAGACAAAAGCATAATACAATTTAGAGTATGAGAGCTGACATGGAGTTGATATAAGTCAGGACAGGGTCTTATTAACTACTAGCACAAAACACTACTCGACTGATCCCTCAGATTCCTCATCTATAGAATGAGGAATTATTAACTATTTTTTGCTGTGAGAATTAAATGATTAAATGAGATAATACATGTCTATATCTATTTCTGTATCTATATCTATCTATCTATCTCTATATATCCAGTGGGCTTCCACTCCCTGACTGTGATTTAATCAATTTGTTTCACCTCTGTGCCTTGACTACCTCAAAGGATTATTAGAAAAGACTATTAGGAAGACGACATGTACCTTATACTTGTAAAGCCCTTTGAGTAGTGCCTGGTAAGTGTACATGATGATGATGATGATGATGATGAGTTGATGATGACGGTATAGTGCCTGCCTGGCTTATAGTAAACAACAAACAATGGTGATCATTAATTTACATCTTAAATGAATGACTCCTTAACTTAAGAACCTACCTTTGGTCATTTGTAGTTCACTGCCTGATAAATCATTTGACATCTATCTTTTCGATGCCATTAGAGTATAGACAAGGAGGAGCAAAGCATATAAGTTGGACTAGAAAGAGCATTAGTTTTAATATAAAGAGACCTGGGTTCTAGTCCACACTTGATGCTTTTTATGAGATCTTGGGATAGATTATTACTTTAATCCTGATCAAGCATCTGTTCATTACTTCTGCTTTCAAAACTCAGCTCATTGAGGGACCAGGATAGCTCTTCTTATCTCCTACGCTCAAGCTGTCTCCTGACCTTAAAATTTCTGCTTCTGCTGCCACTTCTTCCTCTTTCTCTCTATTGCATCCACTTCAAATTTGAAATGACTTTTTGACCACATCATGAGTGTTTTAGAAGAGGTTTCTCTGCCAGGCCCTCTCACAGACCACTGACCAGTTAGATTGGCTGGCCTTGGAACCAACACTCTGTAGAGTGCAAAGAACTGAAATGAGCAGAGGAATCAATTGATACAGAATGGAAATTAAAAGATTCTCTGTTCTGCAGGGGTGATGTGAGCAAACATTTTCCTTAGAAGGCAAGAGGTATGGAAGGCAGTAGGACTGATATGTCTAACACAAAGTTTAATCTCATGTGCCCGAGTCTACATTTGGCACTGAAAAATAAAGATATTTAAGACACAATTTTTTCTGTCCTTGAGGAGCTCATATTCTACAGTGTTAAACAGAAATTTCACACACAATGAGAAAAAATCAGTGTGTAACAGCTGTGATAAAGGTATGTGCTCTCTGTTAGGGCAAAATGAAGGAAGAGGACTTTGCTTGTTTGGATGTTAAGCAACGTCTCCTTCATAAGATGGGATCCTTGAGCCTGAATTTTGAAGAATGAGCAAGAATCAGAAAGAGAAAAAATAGTGTAGGAAAGGTCTTCTACAGCAAAGAGACATGCATGAGCTAAGGCAAAGAGGCACGGCAGAGCACCGGGGAATGTATGTGTGTCATCCTCCAGGCAGTTCAGCACTACTGGGCATCTAGAGAGTAGGCAAGATGACTGATGCATGTATGAGAAGGGAGTGGGAAGAGAAAGAAAAGGAAATTGTGGGAGTTGATGGAGGTGTTAAAGGCTCAGAAGCCAGAAAGAGTAACTAGTAACTGATGGATCTGGATCCTAGAGGAAATAAGCAAAAATGGGATTAAGAGAATTCCTGGGCAGGGTGGCTTACAGCAGATAAAGGGCCTCTCGCCCTTGAGCCCAGAGGTAAAGAGAGGATCACAGGTAGGCAAACATTTAGATTGGGAGCAGGAATTTGAGGTCCATTCTGCCTAATGGCTTTATCCTTCTGTGAAGCACTTAAGGGGCTCATGTGCCGTCAGGGGGGCTATTGGTGGTGAAAACTTTGAGGAGAAGGCCAAAGTCTTGGCATACTCACTAAAGATACTAAGAAAGGAAAAAGTAACTAGGGGCAAATCAACAAAATAATCAGTGATTAACAAATAACCAAGAGTAAATAAATATCAGGGAACATAAAGGGTCCACCTAAGATGTATGCTAAGACCTTAGTGACAACAACAAGAAAGGCTGGGTGATTTTCACCAACAACAATGTCTTGTTCGCTGGCTCTGGGAGAAGAGAATGCAGACTACAGTATTGATCTTTCCCCACGTCTCTCCACAAGAAGTTCTCAGTTAGTGTATGCTTTTTCCAAAAAAGAAAGTGGAGGATCTTAGTAAGAATGATTCAGAGATCAATCCTGGGGTTCAGGCTGGCAAGGTTTATGGGAAAAGCTGGGTGCAGTGGGAAGCCGATTTCCAGGATAGTGCAGGGGATCTTTGAAATGAAGGACTTTATGAGACTGGAGAACTGGCCCTACAAGCGTGACTATTAGAAAGCTTTCTGGCTGAGGTTAAGTGACAAGTCCATATAGTAGTATGAAATTGCTGGAATTACTGATATGATAACATTCTTGTGGTTGATGCTACAGGAGTATAATAATGAATTACATAAATCAAAGATTCAAACAGAGCAGGAGAGAACACAAATGACAGAAATCCTTTGACTCTGTCTCCTGCTCTGTGACCTGTTATGATCTTTTTAAGGAAGGATTCTTGTCAATGGCTAGATTTTTGTTTAATATATTTTTGTGGTTCCCCACCTCCTGCCACCCCAATATCACTTTGGAACAGCTTTGCTTTAAGTCCTGTAAAATCTCCATTAAAGAGAATAGTAGACTATGAAGCTATACTCTATTTGATGTAAATAATCAAGGTTAGTTAAGACTTTACACATATTACATAATTCCAGGCGGTGGGGGACGGAGAGGCTGTTTCTTGCCCTGGTTTCTTGCCGAAATTGTGGATCAGGAGAGAGCAAAAGAAACACAACCCCAGACAAGATAAAGAGATAAGCATCAGCAACCTCTAACTCCTGCCCCTTTTGTGACAAAGGTTGCCATGGTGCCGGAAAGGGATAGAACTGGCATCAAACAGGAGAATCTACTGTATTATGAGTGATTTAAAAAAAAAGTCTTTGAATATTTTTTTCTCTCTGAGTCAGGCTTGGTGAGAAAATTTCCTGACTCACAGTGTGTTGTATGCTGTGTTAACAGTAATGTTTTCCAAAATACCATACACCAGACAAGTCTCTGTTTTTCCTATTTAATCCTCGGACCCTTCCTGGAGGCAGCTATTGGCCTCCTGCGTTTCGTTTCTGGTGATAAAAATTTCTGATGTACTATAGGATTTCCAGGTGATGACAAGGTCAACAATGGGGTCTGAGTGTAGATCATAGAAGTGGCTTAAAGATAAAGGTCCTCGGCTTGTAAGTTGTGAAACAATCTCTGCCCTTTGTTTTCCAATAAGTAATTTCTGGCTGATAGGAGTAAATACTGTAGCAACATTTGGCTGTATCCTCAGAAGGCAAATTCCTGTTCTGGGCCAAATGCTGCAGCAGCGAGACTGTTTCTGCCAAAGTGAATTTTTCCCTCCTTTGTTCCTCCTGATAATCCTGACAATCTTTTGTGTGTACACAGAGCTGAAAGCTATAGTAACCCCAATTTTCTAGATGAGGTAACTGAGGCTCAGGGACAGAAAGCGTCTTTCCCAAAGTGTACAGGATTGCAGCGGAGCTGGGACTAAAGTCTCAATCTTCAGATCGCACCGCCTTCCTGCACAGCCGGCCTGGTCTCTGCGAGGGAAGACAAGTGTTTTCCCATGAGCTTGTGCGCGTGTGTTGTGTGTGAGTGTCCTGTGTGCACTATGGCCTCGAGGATTTGTGTCACCGTCCAGAATCGCTGTTCTTTAACAAAACAGTCTCCAAGAGGCTAAACTCCTCGATTCTTTTTTTTTTCTTTTTCTTTTCTTTTTTTTTTTTTCTTTCTTTTTTTTTTTTTTTTTAACAAACTAGCGCATCTGTGTACCAAGAGAGGATGTGGTGTCCGGAGCTGCAGCATCTGACCCTAGAGGCCCCGCCAGCTGCGTCCGTCCGGCTTGCTCTTCTGCTTGACCTGCACTCTGGGGAGGCGCTGGGCTGTTTAGCCGCCGTATCCCCTGGCAATCTGTTCAGGAAAACAGACCGGAAGGGCTGCCGAGAGCTGCGCCAGCTTCAGAATCCTGCTGCCATCTAGGGATGAGATGGAGCGTCTTCCCGCGTGCAGGCGTGCTGACAGACCGTCGGCTGCAGGCGGGGAGCATCGCGGTGCCTGCCCCCGGCCCGGGTGGCTCTGCCCCGCGAAGCCGGGGTACCCCCAGCACAGGCCCTCGCTCCCCGCGCCTGCCCCAGGGGACCCCGCCAACCCCGCAGGGTCCGAGCCTTTGTGATGGCAGCCGGAGAACAAGTGGAAACGCAGACAAAAACAGTGAGCAGGAAGAAAGAGAACGAGAGAAAACAGCTAGGCAGCGCGGGGCAGACACCCCGCAAGGGCAGGAACAGAAGCGGGAAAGGACTTGGATGGACAAGGTCCATCAGAGAAAGCAGACTGTGCCTTAAGGCGCAATGTGTGTATTTATGGACCTGGGCACTGTCATCACCCGGGTCTCACCATGCAGCTTAACGAGGTCCAAAGCGTCAAGCTACTTTATTTTCCATATATAATTTTCAAGGTTTCTTCTTGCAAAGCGGATAGGGGCGGATACCGCCTTTAGTAAAGATTGTATAGAAAATCCGGACAGAGGAAATTTACGGAGTTAACTTTAAGATACGGCTTGCATTGTTGTGTAAGCATCGCTTTTTCCTACAAACAGAACAATGGGGCTTTCAAAGAAGGGGAGAGGGTTGACTAGACGGGAAAGGAGGAGGGGGAAGAGGATTGGGGACAGGACCCTGCTGTTGACTGGGAGGCCCTGCTGGGAAACTTCAAACCAAATTCTTTCTGAAAGGAAGTGTTATTAAAAGTAACTTTAATCCTTCCAGCCAGACGGCTCATAAAAAGCATATAATTAAGTCAAACAAATGACAGAGCATTTTCTCCCCTACCTGTTTCCTCGTTTTGAGAGTAATTACTACAGGCTAGTCTCGTCTCATTTTGTGCACACAGAAGCAGCGTGTTTCTGTTTCGTAAGTGCCAGGTTCTCTCTTCCTCTTCCGCTTCTTCCTTCCCCACTGCCCCACCCCAAACCAGTTCCGCTCTTGGTACCAACCAGCCTGTCTGCAGATCCAGCCAAGAACAAAGGGGCGAATTTCAATATTTCCTCTTTGTGCAAGGTTAATTGAAAATCAAAAAGTCACTTTTCAAATGTCATATTAAACCCGCCACTGCATCAATTTCCTTTTGGTTCCGATCTCCGTAGGCGAGAGAAAAGTGTTTTTGGGGGATGGTGGGGAGGAGGGGAAAGTAGGGACACAATGAAGAAAAAGAGGAAGAAAGAAGTGAAGGGATTAAAAAAAATCACAGATATACACCGACTTTGATTGCAGATACGCTAACGTGCAGTGGAAAATTGTTTCTCAGAGTGTCCTCAGTCAAAGGCAGACTTTGCCTTCGATACTGTTACTTGATATTCCAGAGACAGAATTGCATCCTAAAGCTGGGGAGATTAGGCCTCCATGTTTTTATGTTTTCGTAGATGGATCACAATATGATTGTCATAAATGCCGTGTTTTAAAATCTTAAAGGGTGATGTAATAATCTGATCGTCTTCATTCCCACTTCCCACTTTTTATTCCCCTCTGAAACAGGCACATGTGGGCATGTGCACGCACACACACACACACACACACACATGCTGTGTGCACAAATACATCCTCATAGCAGAGACACAGCCAGTTCGACTTTGGACTGCTCGGTTTTCTCAGAGTATTTTGCAAGCTTTGGGCTGGAGTTTGGTGACCCAGCATTGCCAGCTTTATTGCTGTTCTGTTAACTGTTCTCTCTCGTTAGCTTTCCTGAAACTCAATTTCCTCATCTGTGAAATGGAGCATCATATCTGCCTCCTGAATCACTGTGCAGACTACATGAGGTGCCATATAACCAGAGCAAGCACGTTTTAATACTCTAACCAATTCTCAGGTCCCCTAAGTCTTGTCCCTGATTGGGTGACTGTACTAGTTCATTGTTCTGGAGCTGGAAGCTGGTCTTGTACTTACTAGTGTTCCTGAGGTCTGCAGAATGGCCGGGTACGGGACTCTGCTGACAGGCTTCACAGTGCCCACTGTCTGTGCGTCCCCTGCACTCCCTGCTGCTCTGCTCCCCTCACTTGCCATTCCTCCCTGAAGCCAGTCGCTCCACAGCCCAGTTCCTCTAGTCTCTCTGTCTAATGCCTGCTACCTTATTTTCCAGATACTAAATCAGAATCCTCCTATGATGCACCAATGTATCTTCTCCCTAAGGATCATTCTAATCATAATAGGCTTGTCTAGTGGGAATCATTTGATTTGCCACAGACTGAACTTTTTAATATACCTACAAATAACTTTTTAGCTAGCCAGGCAGGGTAAAGAGGCAGAATTATGGAATAAATTCACTGTAAGATAACCCATTTGCATAAGGCAAGCCCATAAATCTTCCCTTTTCAATAATATTGTATTGCTGTGATGATACTAGATGTATCCACCAGCCCCAATGAAGGGTAGGTGAGAAGAAGATGGTAACTGTCTGACCTCTTCAGAATGTATCTACACAGAGAAGCACTCCAGAATATCTGCCATCTAGCTTGTGTCAAAATTGTAGTACATTTTCTTCATTGGTAAGATTAAAGAGATAAACACTATGTTTTATCCCTTAGATTTCTACCAACTCAAACCTGTATGAATACATGCTATGTCCTGTTGGACCCCTTCTTAGTTAAAGGTCTTGGTTAAAATAGTCCATCTACTATGCAGATGTTCTTAGCATGCCCAGATACTACTGCCTAACTCTTCTTTGGGCAGCATTTATTCCCTTGAAAACTTGTATTAGAATATCGGTAACAATTTGTTGCATATATTTATTAAAATATATGTGTTCCCTCTCCACTCTCTAAATATCTTGACAAGGACCATGTCTTCTGTCTTTCTCATCCAGGAATTTAGGGATAGATGCTTAATAAATAATAGTTGGAAGTTGAAGAATTATGAAAAAGAAAATGGATCTTGGGTTGTACCAGCATAATGTCTAGACAATTTCCAAAGGAATTTAGTGAAAAAACCAACCTGATGACTGGGGCCAGCAAAAAAGTACTCAGATGACCGGATAAATTAATATCTTCAAAAAATTGTGTTGGAATTTATAGATAGAATCTAAGTTGACAAAGTATGCATATGCATCCCAAAATATTCTTTTGTCTGGTGAGACTGTTTACTTAACACAGGACTACGTTGAAAATGCTGGCAGGACCGACTATTTTCTTAATCCACTTGGGTTTCTTAATCTTATCCAGAGCTCCTCTCCCCTAAAACTACTCCCAAAGAGAAAGAGAGAGAGAGACAGAGAGAGAGATGGAGGGAAGGAAGGAAGAGTTGGAGGGAGGGAAGGAAGAGATGGAGGGAAGGTGGGAAGGAAAGAAAGAAATCAGCTATGTGTAAGTGATAAATCTACTTTGGAATTAGAGTGGAATTCTGGCAAATTACTTGGACAGCCCTAAGGAACATCTTTTAAATCCCTACCTTTAGAATATTGGCAAGCTTAGAAGAGTCTACTATTTTTCCTTATTACTATTGTGCTATATTTTCAGAAAAAGATTCTCTAGAATCTTTATAAGGCTCTTATGAATGTGAAGTGAAAAATCACCCCATGAGTAGAATTTATTTACAATGATAGAACTAGGTTTTGAAATCTATGGTTATACACAGTGAGGGAAAAGTCTGAGAACTTGGTTTTAGTAAAAATAGAATCTTGCCCTGACACTTCCTATAATCTTCTATATAACCTTGAACAAGAAACTAAATCCCTTATTCATTTTTTTTTCTGGGAAATGGTGTGATAATCCTGATGTAACACATGGATTATGGTAA